TACAATTAATTGTATTAAAAAATATTATATTTGTTAGCATTAATTGTTAAAAAAGTTATATGTTGATAGCATTCAATGTTGTACTTTTGCAGTAAATAGCTCAGAAAATGAGTTTTTAATTACAATTAATGTATATAAATAATAATTTAATATTTTCCGTATTTAATTAAATACGGTAAATTAAAAAGCGTGATCGATTCGACGCATCGACAGTTCAAAGAGACATAAAAATACATCAACATAAAGTGAAACAAATTATAAATGTATCAGAGAACAATATTTTTACGAGAATTATCGAAAGATGCTTACTCTCTGTCATCTCGACATAATTTTGTAGTTTAAATTATTGATGTAAACAAAAGAAACGATCTTTCACTGTGTTTAACCACGAAACGTAAAATGTATAGAGGACACAAAAGTAGGAAAACATAAAAAGTCACTAGCAGTTGATTAAAAACCGAACCTAACGAATGGACTAACGATACTCCATTCTAATAATTATTCATTATTACAGAATCGCGAGCAAAATCTATAATTGCGTAAGATTGCGTTACTCAAAGAATTTTCTTAGCTAAGATTAGATGTACGTAAATAAGACCTTCGCGTCGCGGTTTTAATAGTGCGCTCCAAAAAAGAAAATTACATTATGCGTGAGCAATAGTGCAATATCCTGCAAGACGTGAACACGTGTTGTAACAAGACATAAAGTTTACATAAAGTTTAGGAGTAATAAATTATTAGAATAAGTTATTGGAAGATATCCAATCATGTCGGAAAAATTCGAGGACGGGCAATTCAGCGACGTTGAGGAGGATACACTGCCTTGGGCGTAAGTTTCATGTTTTGTATTTATATTCTTAATTCTCAAAAAAGAGAGAGAGAGAGAGAGAGAGAGAGAGAGAGAGAGATATGATAAAATAATAAGAAAGAGAGAATAATGACAAAAGAGTTTAATTAAACTACGAGTCAAAGATTAAGAACATTTATAAAATTGTTTGCAAATCTATTGTATTCATTTTTACAAAAAAGACTTTATTTACATTATATCATTTTGCACAGGCAGAACAAATTCAAAGGAAAACCTTTATCTAATGGATATCCCAAGGAGCAACTCGAAGCAGAAGTGGCCAATCTGCACATTACAGACAGTAAAGAGAATAATGGAGACGATATCGATGACGATTATTATTGTAACAATGATTATGATTTGGATGAAAAGAAGAATACTGTCATAAAAACAAGTTCGCAGAGATCCAACACTCAAACTGAATCTACGAGGGTAATAAATTATCAACCTAAACACAAGCTGTTATCTCGTTATGCCAACAAAATTAATTTAGAGAAATATGCGGGTCCGTCATTACCAGGCTATGTGGCCAATGTGCTGATCGAAAGCGACAAACGGGTCGATAGAGATCGCATAAGAATGAAGGACAAAAGTGATCATGCGACGATTGAGAATGTATTGGATTCGCGCATTAAAAACAAACTACACAAGCTGTTTGAGAAAGGAATACTGGCAGAGATAAATGGTTGTATCTCGACTGGGAAAGAGGCCAATGTCTATTATGCCAAGTCGAAGAATAAAGACGAGATCGCTATCAAAATATACAGAACATCTATTTTGACATTTAGAAATCGAGAAAAGTATATCAGGGGTGAATATCGTTTCGATCATGTGCATTCCCTAAGCAATCCACGCAAAATGGTGAAAGTCTGGGCAGAGAAAGAATTTTCTAATTTAAAGCGTCTGGAACAAGGAGGCGTCCGAGCACCGCGGCCGATTTTGTCCGGTGGTCATCTGTTGTTGATGGAGTTCCTGGGATCGGATGGCTGGGCGGCACCCAAACTTAAGGATGCTGTACTTACAGATTCAAAATCGAGAACATTGTATAGGGAATGTATTGAAATTATGTGGAAGATGTACAACAAATGCAGGCTTGTTCATGCTGACCTAAGCGAATATAACATGCTATATCACAACGGATCGATTGTAGTCATTGATGTTTCACAGGCTGTAGATCGTGATCATTGTAACGCAATGGAATTCCTTAGGAATGACTGTAACAATATTACAAGTATGACAAAGAAATATTTTATCACTTGTTAGTTAAAAAAGTAAATTTATTATTTTTTATTGAATAGATTTACTAAAGCAGATATTTGAAATATATAATTTTTTCAGCATTTTTCAAAAAGTACAACGTGGGAGTTATGACGCTCCAAGCATTGTTTGATTTTATAACAGACCCAACTATAAACGAAAATAACATGGACGAATATTTAGATATACGGATGCAAGAGGGAAATGATGAAAAAGATCCACAGCAACAGGAAGTAGAGGAGGCAGTTTTTAAGCAAGCTTACATACCTCAAAGATTGACGCAGGTATCGATGATTATTGTAAATGTATACAATGCATGACCTTTATTTCATTTTGTATTTTGTGGTAGGTGATTAATGTGGAACGCGATATAAATCTCGCGAAATCTGGAAAAGATTTGATTTATAAGACATTGATAGGCTTGAAAACAGACTTATCGAAGCCTGCAGAAAAACCGGAGATCCTTGCTAATAAACACAAGGCAGATAATAAAAGTACGAAGGAAGGGAGCGATATTTATACCTCCTCTGAGGAGAGTGACGATTCAGATAGCGAAAACGAAAATGAAACAGACAGCGAGGATAATAAGATCAAATTTGTAAGCTCGGCTAGGCCTAGAAACGAAAGTCCCGAAAGTAGAAAAGTAAGTACATTATTTATTTTTCTGCGTAATTATACATTTATTTCAAGTGTAATTATACATTCTTTACTGCGTAATTATATATTTATTTTAAGTGTAATTAATCTCCAGATTTCATATTTTTTTAGGCGCGCAAGAAGGCAGTCAAAGAACAGCAGGCGGAGAAGCGGAAAATCAAGATAAAAAAGCACGTGAAGAAACGTAAAATAAAAGTATCAAGAGGAGGAAAATGAATATTTGTATTTAAAAAAAAAATGAGAAAATTGTATAATATATGCATTGTATAATTATTAGTTTACTTAGGCTCTTAAATAACGTTTTAAAAAAAAAAGAATACAAAAAAATAGCAGGACGCGATTTAAAAAATGTTTGAGCGCAATTTGACCTTAGTAGAAAATACGTGCATTATATCTTTTTTTGACATTATCTAGTACTTTTCCTAACGTATTTTTTGTCGTTGACAAAAGACGGCGCTACAATCGCGAGGAAAATAATAAGTACCATCTGATACTCAATTTACTAGACTGGTATCACTTTCGAGAACACTGAGATTCAATCGATTATCCAAAATGTCAATTTTCAAACAATTGTAATATAAAAGTGATACATACAATATATCAAACTATTGAGAAATCATCTTTTGATCATCTCGAGATAGATCTGCTAGATATTATTTAAGAAAAGAAAAAGTAAGTAAATGGGAGTAATATTTTGACATTTGCGACTGCACGTACATTTAAATACACTATAATATTTATGCTGTGTGATTGCACGTTAGTGCTGGATGCAGCCTCTATTAAAGATAGGTTTTTGACAACCGGTTGTTCGAGACTGGATGCAAAACTCGGGGGCGGCATACCTTGCAGGGGTATCACACAGCTTTATGGTGCTGCCGGTACTGGGAAGACACAGTTGGCTCTACAGTTGTGTCTCACCGTCCAACTGCCGATAACCGCTGGTGGTCTCGGAGCTGGTAACTTGTAAAGCACTTGATATATTTAAAAAATTAGAGAATTTAATATAATCAAATTTGTGAATAATAAATTTCTATTGTTACATTTTCAATCTTTTCTCTTTTTCTTTTATCTAGAATCCTTTTTAAATATTTTATGCTATTATGAAATGTTTATGGTGAAATTACTGATGTTAACAGGTGCCATATACATTTGCACAGAAACTGCTTTTCCTTCAAAACGGTTGCAACAATTGCTGACGAAATCAGAGATAGCCAAAACTCATTCTGTGAATGGAGATGTGATACTTGTGGGCCATATAGCTACCAGTGTAATTAAGATATTATATTATTTATTAATTGAGGGATAAAGCAATGTAAGAAATTATATATCGCTAACTGTACATCGCTGATGAATGTTGAAGGAAGAGTTGGTACTGTGCCTACAACGCAGAGTTCCAGTGCTGATGAATACTCGTAAAATAGGATTGTTAATTATCGATTCGATAGCTGCCCCTTATAGAGCAGAGGATTGGAATGATGCGGAACAATGCAGAACTAAGAGGAGCATCGGAAGGCAGTTACATGAACTTTGTAAAAATGATAATTTGTGTGTAATCTGCATTAATCAGGTAAACATATTTTAAATAAATGCATTGTTATATTGCATGCTGATATATCTGTTTTCTAGGTTTCTGCAGTTATAGATGATCATAGACTTATTTCTGAAGGTACAAATGAGCAGCCAGCTTTAGGATTAGCATGGTCGAGTATGATAACCACCTCTATATATTTCTACAGAAGACTGTCTTCGCGATACGCTTGCGTAATGCTTGCTTCACATTTGCCGAGGATTACTTTTCAGTTTGAGGTGGAAGAATCTGGTGTCAAGGCAGTTGAATAAAATCTATGTTATACAAAACAAAAACATCTTTATTCCACAAGTTTGTATATATCGCGAAATATATTTTCGTCCAAGATCTTCGTTACATTTGTCGCTTTATAATCGGACAATATAGTGGCATCAAACGGATCCGCCGTTCTCACATCTATATTTTCGATATCACAGTTTAATATTAACCTTGAAAGTAAATATAATATTAATAAAAAATAATTATGTGTATCCCAAACGGTGATATGTTAATTGTACCTGAGAGAATGGAGATAGGTTCTGTGAGGTTCTATATCTTTGCCTTCGCTATATGTGTAATCTCCTATGACTGTATGACCAATGTAATGACAATGTACTCTCAACTGATGTCTTCTACCAGTACCAGGTGCTAGTAAGATTTTAGTGGCGGGCTTTCCTTTCCAAAACCCACGTTCCAATACAACCAGTGTTGTGTAAGATCTGCGTGGCTTGTCGCAAAAGATACTGTCACTTATGCACATTTTGTGATTACCAGTCTTTTCTCGAATATCAGCACCTAGATCAAGAAAGAAATCAAGATGAGACTTTGTCAAACCTGTTACTATATATTTAGCATTTTCCAGCAAGGACACACATTTGCTGATGTTAAACAAGGATAAAATGATTCATTGTGTGTTATATTAGATCTGTTTTGTGATTAAATTAATATATACTTTGGAACTTGAAGTGAGATACTGATATTTGGCAGTGATGAGATTTCTAGTGTGATTTCTGTTAGAAATGTAATCAGAGCTTTATATATGTAAATGAAGCTTATGATAATGAACGAAATTAAAAGTAATGAATGATTTAAATGAAAATTAAGCTATAGTAGTCACTTAAATGAAATGAACATGTACATTAAATTTCATAAATTTTCATAAAAAATAAATACATTAAATTTTACATATACAAATATACTGTAATTTGTAATTATAAATATATTAAATTTAATGTAATGTCATGAAATTAAATTCAAATTGTGTAACTTAAAAGTTAATAAAATTTAAGAACATTTCTAACAGTGTAGGGTCTTTGCTGGAAACGCATTGTTGCATTATCACAATTTCTAACCAATAGGCTTGTCGATTATGATATGAGGTTCGTGTATATGGCCATGTACCAATGCTAAATAAAATTTTTGCACTTTATGATTTTCGAAAGCGGACGACGCTGCTCTAGCCGCCTTTTTGTTCAACGCTATGCACATGACGCCGCTCGTGGGATAATCTAATCGATGCACAAAGTGAAATTCATGGCACAATCGTGGATTAACCAAGTCCGGCAGCATCTGTCGCAATTCCATTTGAAGAGTATTCTGAAAACATTAATACCTGATTTATGGACACGTTAATTGCAAGCACTTGAATGAGAATGTCCTCACCTTTCGATCAGGATTATTACTATTTATGTACATGTCGTAAGGCTTATCGATTACTAAAAAGTTCTCGCTGCGATGTATAATCTTGACGGATTTATGCTTCTCGTGCCAATTGTTCAACAGTCTCTTGATGTACGAATGTATCAAACGAATTATCGTGTACATGACATTGCAGACGATCAGCGTACATGTGTGTAAGAATTTGTTAACATTTACTCTAACCATTGTAGAGCAAGATGTTTACCTCAACTCCGAACGATGTTTTCACATTGCGGCCATTTTCAGTTGTTTACATACACACGCGGAGGGAATGTTATATATATCATACATGCACATAGCATTCGACATATATGCTGTATCCATTCATGTATACATACATTCATGTATACAGAGTGTTCTGAATTTTTGCGAATCAAATTATTAGCAAGAAAATTTTCGAAAAATTAAATAAAAAAAGTTATATTTACATTTCAAATAGTTTTTGAGATGTAAGGATTTAAATATAATTAATTACAGATTACACGTTTAGAGTTTAGTCATCTGTTTCATGAATTTTGCGTGTAATAGTATTAATAATAAAAGCGCATTCTTCACCATCTAAATATAATCCGTAGTATACACGTAATAATTGGCCTTTGAAAATTTAATTCTTACTGTGATATTTTGATTTGTGAATTTGAGACCTGTATGTATCTATAAATAATCTTATAAATAATCTTATTTTCATCTATTTTACGATAGCCAATGAGTGTCTTTCAACACAGCATACACATGATACGGTGTAACACTGTGAATCATTATGTTCTTGTTCGCCAATTAAATAAGGCTGAGATGATCACTGTGTTATACTGAGTCGCTTGTTGAAAGACATCCAATAATTTTATGAATCATGCATATGCAAACTATGCGGACTTTCATATAACGTGAATCTGCGCGGTGTGTAACATAAGGATGTGAGAATGTACAAAGATGCGTGAGAGTACATAAGAGAGAAAACGAGAACGGACGTATCTTTGTCTCTTTTCAATTAAGAAACTTGACAAATTTTTGTTTTCCCTCTCAAGTTATATATTTCTATAATTTTTAATTTCTTTTCTGCTTTTAACTATTTTGCTTCCCCTAATTTTTTAAAATCTTAATCAATTGTTCAACATAATCATAGTAAATAAATATACATATATATGAAAAATTCATTGCAAAGTAAAAATATAATATCTATTAGGCCGTATGAAACAAATCTTAACAATCTTAACAATGGCAAATCTTAACTTATTATTGGAAAGAAGTAATATAGGTAATGTATTTCTTAATATGTAGAATGTCTAAAATCGACGCATATAATACAACTTTTAAGATATCTTTACAAATTCAATTTTTAAGAAACATGTTTAAGATATTTTATAGATGCATAGATTTTTAGATATTTTTAGATATTTTGCACATTGGATTGTGGTGATAATATAATACTTTTAATATCAATATAAAGCTCTATGCGAAATTCGTTGTCAGCACCGAAGATCTATAGCTTACATTAACTGTACTACAAATTTTCAACGCTGACAGTAAAATTTGGAACACAGTCAAAATCGACCACTAGCAAATAATGCGGGAAATTGCATTTTCTAATAATTGAAATAAAGAATTACCATGCGGATAATTGATGGAGATGTAGGAGATTTGTATATAGAACGACATATACGTTCTCATTTACATAGATGACACAAAGCTTGTGCCGACGAGATACGTATCTAGAGAGGAATTGAATGCCATACACAAAAAGATCCTCTCTCGACATGTATTCGCTCAAGGAGATTGCATTCATCGTGTCTGTTCGACGTAAAATATAATCGAGCAAATGAAAGGATTTTTCATCTCATTATTACATCATATTTTATTTACTTTAATCCTTCTATCAGAAATGATTCTGTCACAAAGATATAATCTAAACGTAGAGATAATAAATTTACACAAGACTAAATCTCGATTGTTATATAAATTACGTCGTTCAAATTATTTAAGTATTATTATATCTCGAAAATAAAATTGCATTAATTATAAAATAAATTTAAAATACATTAAATTCATGAATGTAAGGAAAGCACTCTTTTTTATCGTTCTTCACTGAAAAATTGAAACATCATTCTGGTTAGAGTAATTGGAATAAGATAAAAGTTAATCGACGTTCAACGATCAATTAGATTAATGAATGCTTAGAGAGTTACTTCCAGTTACCTCGCGTACTTATTTGGTACTTCGCGTACAAATGTATGCACGTCGTCCGGGGAAAATTTGTGCAATCCGAGCATTCGTACCGAATGCAAGTGATGGTAGCGGTAGCACGCTAGATGAGATGGAGATATGTTATGCAAGTTTGCAGCATAGAGAAGTCTATTGCGTCAGAGTGGATCGTCAGTTCTATGTGCAGACAGAGAAGTCGCGATGTTTAGGCTTTTTACTTTTTATAATTGGAGAACATACATTTTACGCGCTTGTTATTACCATTGGCATTTAAACGCGTCAACCATGAGGGGCAGAGGTCGGCTTTTTCCGTAGAGAACCACATATAAACATTTAAACTTTGCAAATCAAAACTTTCCATAAATTTTTTATTCAATTTAAAATATCTTATAATAATATAATAATAATAATAATAATAATAATAATAATAATAATAATAGAATTGATAGATAATAATAGATAGATAATAATACACATACAAATAATAATAATTCATCTATCATCTAATTATAATTTGACTCTTGCGCTAAAGTGTGGCTTTTTTGATCATTTCATTGACAAAGGAAAAATTAATAAAATAAATTGAATGATGCGGTTACATACACCATGATAAGTTAATAACAAGGAACACGGTGTCTGCGCTATGTATTCTAAGTCTTATATCTACACATATATATGATGTAAGCAATTCCTCAGTTTTGCATCGTAAAGCTTAAGAAAAGATACTGCTAAGCGTATATTTTTACGTTCTTTCGCGTAGCATAGATTTCGGAGCGATATATCAAGGACCACGTCAAAGATACTACGTGAGACGATTTAGAGGCGCTCCAGATGATTACGAGTTAACGATTTGCGGTGCAACTCTGACGGGAGTCTCGATCGGCGAGATATAGAGCGCGAATCTTCTCGTGAGCATACGCTTACGTACATGCCGATCCGATTCTTTTCCATCGATCCCGTGCAGCATCTTGTGACACACTTGCGTCGAACGTTGCTGTAAATCTTGCCGATTGCACCAAACTATGATCTAGAAACGCGGATGAGCCCCGGGATATATAAAGAGCGGAGCAGACCTCATGTTTGTCATTCCCTCGAGAAATCCATCCTGCGCTGAAAGGGTAGCAACAAGAGACAGGGAGAGCGAGTCTCCCCCGGAGGGATAGCTAGAATAACAGAAATTCGATTTCTTTTTTGTCACTGGAGAGCATTATGGGAATCGTCAATATGCTTAAGGTGAGAAAAAATAATATCTAGCTTCACACGAAACATGAAACTAATGTATCTTCAAATATATCGAAATTTAGAAATTACTTGAGAAGAAGTTGATCATGTATTCATGAGAAAGTATTTATTGTTGGCATCAATAACAAATATTGTGCTTAAATCATAAATGTGTATTTTTAGATATTATAATATTTTGTCAACATTATATTAAGATTTTGTCTTCGATAAAAATTTATTTAGCATGGAAATTATGTAATATTTACAATCATAACAATTAATTATTTAATGATGTATGAGATTAGATACAAAGAGAATTGTTTAACATTTTTTGTAAAATTAACATTATTCAAATATTTTTGTTATTTATAATATATACTTTATGATTTATAAAATTCTTGTCACAGATCAGTGGAACGTTTATTGCGATGTTAGCCGTGGTGCGTTCGGAACCTCCGGTTAATTCGTATCTACCTCCAGGATCGGATACTTCTGGTACGAATGGCGGTCGAACTGACTTGTCTACCCAGTACGGAGCGCCGGATTTCAATAACAGGGGTAATGGAAATAGTGGCGCAACAAGTTTCGGAGGGTCCGGCGCAGGTAATGGTCCGTCAAAACTTTACGATGTACCCATCAGAGGAAATACTGGCGGAAATGGTTTAGGTCAGTTTCGAGGAAATGGATTTGAGAGTGGACAACCTTCTAGCTCTTACGGCGCTCCTAAAGGTGGTTTTGGTGAAAATCGTGGCAACAGAGGAAGACCATCGACTAACTATGGCGTTCCCGACTCAAGTGGGAATAACAGAGGTGGTTTCGGAAATGGAGGTAGCGAAGCAAGACCGTCAACTAGCTACGGTGTTCCCGGTGCGAATGGGAACCAAGGTGGTTTTGGAAGCGGAAGTATCGGAGGAAGGCCATCGACTAGTTATGGTGTTCCTGGTGCGAATGGGAATAACGGGGGTAGTTTCAGAAACGGAGATATCGGAGGAAGACCGTCGACTAATTATGGCGCTCCCGGAGCGAATGGAAACCACGGGGGCGGAAACGGTGGTAACGGAAGGCTCTCGAATAATTACGGAGTACCTGGAGCAAATGGAAATACGAATGGTAAAGGTCGTTTGAATGGAAATAGTGGCGGAGGACCATCGAATAACTATGGATCTCCGAATGGATTCGGTAAAGGATTATCAACCAGTTACGGTTCACCTAATAGAGGTGGAAATGATAATCATTATCCATCGGGAGGAAGTTTTATAAATGGTGGAATTAACGGCTATTCATCTGGAAGTCCAAATGGAAACGCAGGGAATTTCGGACACGGCGATGAAAGTTTTGGCAGAGGAGGAGGAGAAGGAGGAAATACTGGCGAGGGTTATAATGCCAACGCGCAAGAAGAGAGTACTGTAAGTACATAAATATAAATCTCATATAAATCTCATTAAAATAATTGAGTCAGAAGCGAATGAGACAATTATCAGAGATGAATTGTAGAAATATTTTCTTCAGAAATATTTACCAGATTTTCTGATATTTGTCAGACTACATACTTTTACTTTTAGTATAGACTTGAAAATTATCTCACGTTATCTCATTTTTTTAGGAACCGGCGAAATACGAGTTTTCATATAAAGTGAAGGATCAGCAAACCGGCAGCGATTACAGTCACACGGAGACTAGAGACGGTGACCATGCTCAAGGCGAGTTCAACGTTTTGCTTCCAGATGGTAGGAAGCAGATTGTTGAGTATGAGGCTGATCAGGATGGATTTAAACCGCAAATTAGATACGAGGGCGAAGCGAATGCCGACGGAGGATATGGCTCTGGACTGAATGATAACAATGACGGTTATTCTTCTGGTCGACCGGATAGCGAAAGCGGTGGCTTTGCGAATTCAGGATTTAATGGAGGTAGTAGTAACGGCGGTTATCCAAGTGGTGGCCCTGGCGAAAGAAAACTCGGTGGATTTAATAACGGAGGCAGCAGCGGTTATCAGTCGGGAAGATCAGGTGCGATAAGATTGCGATCTGCCGTTTAATTGAATCGAAGTGATGCGAAAGACAAGTGGATATTTCCAAGAATATATTGAAAAACTTTTATAATAAGAGATATTTAAATTCTATATATTAAATCTTATATTAAAAAAATCAAATTTTAAAATTAAGAAGTATTATTCTAATAAAATCAAGAAAAATATTTTATTATTAAAAACTTGATTTTTCTCTCACTTTCTTTCATTTTTGTTTATATAATAGTAGTAATAAAGAGAACACATAATTTCCGCAGAAAAATAATAAATTATTTTATTTATATTTTAACTTATTTATAATTCTTTGATTGTAAATCGATTTATGTTTTATAGCAGGACAATCCTTTGGCCGAGATAATGCTGGTGATTTGAACAATGATATCGGCGGCTACTTTTCCAATTCTCCTAACAACATTGGCGATAGTGACAATGCGAATGTTGGAAGTAATAGACAAAACGATGGTAACAGTGGATATCAATATTAAAAGAACACATAGTGTTCTTAATCAATAGATTTAGAGACTATAACTATTTTGGATAATTTTGCATAAAGGTGACGAATTAAACGTAATCAATTATTTAACATAAAAATATTTAGCCAATTTAATTATTATTATTTTATAATAATCACACGGATAATGGGAAATTTTCATATAACCATATTATTATATCATATTACTGTATTATGCGTTTCTGAGAATTTTTTGTCAACAAAAGAAATAAATTTATTAAAATATAAATTTCTTGCGCTCTATAGATTCGTTAAATAAAATTTATAAATTCATATAAATTTATTATTAATGTTTCGCGTACATAGCATGACTTATTTAAACTGTGTAGCAACTTTTAATTAGTGAGCAACAAAGAAAAAATAAACAAATGTATAACTGACATCGATACAAAATTTTTCTTTATTATTAGGATCCCAAAATTTTTTTTTTTTTTTACTTTATGAATGAACAATTTACTGAAGTATATATACGAGCCATTCTGCTCTATCATGTTTCTCTGAAAGTTTCATGATATCAATTTTTCGCAATTTCGAAATTTTTTTATTTACTGAAAATACTAATTGAGGTGATTTTTTTATATTATTCATATAGAAGAGCTGAATTTTTTATTACAAAGACAATTTTGTAGAAAAAGGAACAAGTGATAATTAGAAGAGGCGAACTTCAGAGAATAAAAAGGATGAGATAGAACTAATCAAACGCCAGCAACTTGTTTCGAATGTACATCTTTTTGGTCGTTTGAAACAAGTTGTTAGTATTTGATTAGGACGTTCTACCCTATTCTTGTTACTATTTAGACCTTTCGCCCTTTCTGACTACTACTTGTAGACTGAAATACACGTAATAGAGCAAAATGGCTCGTATATACTTCGATAAATTGTTGCTTTTAGTTAAAAAAAAAAAAAAAAAAACGTAAAAGAAAGTAAAGAACTTTTTGGAATCATTTAATATAAAACGTGCTTTTCTTCATACAATTATTCATTAGTCGAAAGATATATCTTTCTATATGCAAAGACATATCTTTCTATATGCTTTAAAAAAACAAAAATATATATAAAATATTATATAATATTTTTTAGTGAAACTAGCACGAAGAGCCAGATATCGAATTTTACCGTTATATGGAATTAGACATTGTATGTGCATGCAGCTGCGTAGAATAATTTCGTCCTTCTCTTATGCCGAACTAATTTCGCACTTCCGTGGTGTGCTTGGGGAAGCGCAACCTTAAGGGTCGCACGACGCGCTCGTACGACAAAGATTAACACGGCAGAAACATAACCGATGTGTACAATTATGTAGCTCTGTATCCGGCTTGCGTTATACCTCATGCGACCCGCTCGCTCGGCCGTCGACAGGAAGTCAAACTCGGCCCGGGCCGCCGCCATACATACGTGTGAATCTCCGGGCATTAAAACGCGCGTGCGTTGCAGCCGGTCGCGGTTTCCCAAACGGACCCCGCGATGTGCCCAGACACCAACGAGAGAATCGTGAAAGGCAACACAAAAGTCACCTCCGAGTCCGTTGTTTTAATAGACTGAATCGCTGAGATATGAAATTTGACCGATCTAAAATGAATGATAAAAAAAAATTCTCTAACACTTTAAGAGAGAAAGAAAAGATAAAAAATAAAAATATGCATATTATATATTTAATTTAAAATTATTACGCGTTTATTGTAAAGACATTAAAATTTGAAACTTCCCTATATAATAAAGAAAAAAACTTAACATTAAAACTTATTTCTTTGAATGCTTGTAATGCAAGAAAAAAGATTTATTTGACTCTTCTATTTCCTTGAAAGAAATGTCTGCGTAAATATTATTGTCCCAAAATTTTCCACGTAAATTCCGGTTTTTTTTTTTAATAAAATATCTTTATCCGCGTTTATATTGCATAAGTTTCACGCAGGACGATTGTGCGTCTTAGTTAGGTGGACATTTTCGTGACGTGGCGTGAAATTCTCGCATTCATACGGGACGACGCATCGGTAATATTTCATAATTAGTTGCAATTCAATTTGTATGGCGGTGATATGCGTGCGCATATGCGTAGACACACGCGTGCAAATGCGCATAAATATAGCCAGCGCAACCAGGAACAAGAGAAACAGGTTCCAGCCACGGTACCGTAGATCCTTAAGGCATCATTGAGCGAATGGTAAACCAGCTGCGCCCGCTGCTCGGGATTTCACTGTAAATGTCAACCTAAGGCACGCGAAACGTCCCTTCGATTTAAAGGAAAGTCGTTCCGCAAACCGAGCTGTATAATAAAGTCATTGCGCGAACGCGAAGGGATGAAAGACGCGAAGAGGGTGTTCATTCAACGACCGACTCTCGCATGCGCCTCCAGAAGATGCTTCATCCTTGCAATTTCTTTCCCTCGTTTTTGTATAAAAATATATATTAGCAAAGAAACGAAGTTAACATTCTTCGTCAACTTTCAAAGTATGAATCGCTTATTCATGAGAAAAAGTCAACTCACATTAAAGTGACAAAATAAGAAACAAACGAATAGGATATAACAATACCGTCTTTGTCAATCGAGTTGTTCAAGCGTTCATATATTATATGACTAGAAGGCTGATCGAATAATTAGATATTTATAAAAGATTATTGTAATTGATACACGAGGAAATTCATGCGCCTTGCCTTGAACTTTCCAAACTTTCCTAACGCCATGGCCGTTTTTTTAATTTCAAAAGGTGAAAAAGATATTGTTATACGTGTTGCGGAACGATGTAGCCCCGTTACGCTTAAACAGAGATACTTGCCGAGCACATTAGAAAGTTGCGGACTTTATGAAAGTACATGAGTCCAAGTATCGTTAATTACCGCTCCTCTGTGAGTGCGAAGTGGTCTAATATCCACGAGGATGCTAAAAGCCGCCCTCACCGTCAAAGATCAGTCTAATTATTTTACAGTGATGTGAAAATTGCCAGATCACCGCAAGACAATTTCGCGCCATACTTCCTGTCTGCTGAAATCCTTCATATCTTTAAAACATCAGTTATTATCACATTCTCACATTGCTATGATATTTCGTGCTTCTCGATTTATATAAATTAAAAGATATTAATTAGTCTATACAAGATAATCTAAAAAAAGACAGCACGACACACACTTGAAGGAAAAATATAATCGTGCTGATAATAATTTATTGATTCCAGCGATATTTCTCGTTAATATTAACAGAGATTTATATTCTATAATTATATTCTATAATTATATTCTATAATTATATTCTATAATTATTTTTAAACTATAATTATATTTATTTTTCGCATTTTTTATACTAAAAAAATCAAAAATTGAAAATATGGAGAAAATATGGAAGTGTTGCAACTTCCCGAATGTAACATGATATTTTCCTTCTAAAGTAGAAAGAAAACGATAAATATTTCTACTTAAGCATTCTTTAATTGGCTAATTGGTAAAATTTTATCTTCTGATTAGTCAAGCAAATACTTCGAAGTATCTATAACATTAAGGTCCGATTGTATCAACGTTACTTTGGTTTTAAGCGAGGCTTAAAACTCTTTCTGTCTCTGTCTCTTTTTGGCTTTAAAATGAGACAGATGAAGTTTTAAGTCTCGCTTAAAATCAAAGTGACATTGGTGTAACTGAGCCTAAGTGAATTATATCCTAGAAGTCTGCGAACAGTTTGAATTCGAATCGAATTGAATCAAATCACAGTGGATTAGATTTGAATTCATTTTTCTAAGAAATTCAAATTAATTACTTCAAAAATTTCAAATCAATTCCCTATTTTATTTATGCTTTATTTAGAGGAAAGCCAAGCAATTCTGATCGACCAAAGCTAGTTTTCACTTCTAGTAACGGACGTTTCATTAGGATCATCAAAAATCATGGACATTTAAAAAAAATTTAAAATTAAAAATATAAGTTCTTTTTTAACACGTAAAAATTATCATTTTACACTGAAAAAAATTTTAATAAATATTTGTATGAATATAATTTTAAATATAAGTAAATATTTACTAAATATAAACATATATTTATTTAATACAAAAATCATTAATTTGATTTAACTGTTATTTTTTACTAAGTAAATATTCATTTACAGTAAATAAATATTTACTTAGTACTATTCAAAGAAATATACATATATTAAGTTTTAGTAATTTTTGTTCAATGTAGTATGTTTTACATTTTAACAATAAGCATAAAAAAATTTTATTCTGTCTAGATAAATCAGCTGGAAATAATCTTTGAGATCTGATAAGTCTCACACTTCTCGGTATAGCATTTCGCGACGAGGCGTCTTGTTACCGGGCGCACTTAGGTGTTTTCGGCCATATTCGGCGATGCATCTGGGCATCTTTACGATCCAGGC